GTAGCGGAGGCGGCACCGCCCAGACCCAGTCCCAGCGGTGCCCACGCCGACGCCCACGCCGAAGCCCTCACAGCACCACCCTCACCACCGATCACTCAGACCGACTCCTCCCGGGCACGGTGCCATGTCCTCCCGGGAGGGACAGGGAGCCTTTAAGACAGACGCCACCTCCGTGCGAAGCTGGGTCCTGCTGCTGTGCGCCGTGGGGGCCAGGCTGACACCCGGTGTGACTGTCTTATTTGAACGAGGACCCGAGACAACCCTGTGGCCTGCAAGATGCCAGAAGGACACGGGGCCCTGGGCCCCCGCAGCCCCTCCCACCGGTGAGAGCGGGCAGCTCTGGCCAGGGCTGGAGCGTCTGTGTCTCTGGCAGCTCCCCCAACACACACACCCAAGCGTCCCTGACACCTGGGCCCAGGCCCCGGCTAGGCCTGCAGGGCCCAAGGCCCTGGTGTGACCAGCGCAACCTCAGTCAGCCCGTGGGCACCACATCCCTGCACAGCCCGACTCACCAACACCCAGCACATGTCTAGCTGGTTAGGCTCAGTGGATAGAGCGTCGGCCTGAGAACTGAAAGGTCCCGGGTTTGATTCCGGTCAAGGGCACATGCCTGGGTTGCAGGCTCGATCCCCAGTGGGGGGTGTGCAAGAGGCAGCCAGCCAATGGTTCTCTCTCATCACTGATGTTTCTATCTCTCTCTCCCTTTCCCTTCCTCTCTGAAATCAATAAAAATAAAAATAATAAAAATTAAAAACCCGGCACAGGGTCCAAGTGTGAATACTGCCTGGAACGGTCCAGCCACAGAGCGAGGGCGGCGGGACCCAGCCCCACCCTGAGCTCCAGGCGACCAGCAGGAAGCCAGCAGTGCCCGTCCCGTCCCGGACGGCCTAGCACCCACGGCCCCGTGGGCCAGGGAGGATGTCCTCCCTCCTCCCACCCCCACAGGACACTTTGCTAGGAAGTGTGCGGGCGAGGGCTCCTCGGAGCCAGATCCCCTCCCCCTGTGCCCCACAACAGCCGCACGGCACTGTCCTCCATGGACACAGCCTCGGTCCTGTCTCCATTCAGTGGGCTCTGCCCAGCCGCTCCGGCCTGCCCACCCCTCCACCACCCACCTGGCCGAGACGAGCTCCAGCAGCCAGTGGGTCCGGACCTGCTCGATGCCGCCATGAGGGACGGCGCCCACGTAGGCCAGGTTGAGCTGCTGGTCCCAGCTGAGGTCGAACTGGTCAGCCCGGCTGTGTGGCAGTGGGGGGCTGGGGACAGAACAAGGGCGTGGGAGCATTAGTCTCCGCGAGGGAGGCCCACAGACCAGCCTCGCCGAACATCGGCACAGACAGAGCCACGGCCAGGCCTGCCCGGGATGCGGACGGGGAAGTGTCCGCAAGTGAATGACGCTCTCCCTGGTGTGATACAACGACCCCCAAGGCCTGAAATGGTATGCAGTCTCAGGTTTGGGGGTCGGGGGCTCCCGAGGAGAGGACTACATCCCCACCCTGCTCCTTGCTGCGGCAGCTGCGGAGCTGCTCGAAGCCGGACACAGAGGGGGCTGGGGACACACGGGGATGGGGACAGGCCCCGGGGCAGGGATGTCCTACATCCCTGGGGCTGCCCCTGGGAGGCTCTGGGTGGCAGAACAGTGTCCTGAGACAAGGCCCTCCCAGGCCTGGCTGCCTCCCATCACCGACTCTGCCATCCGGCAAACTCAGAGCCCGGCCCAGGCCTCCACCACCGGGGTCCTCCCGCAGCTAGAAAACCCTGGAGGCACCCCAAGCCCCCATGGAGCGGGGACAGAGGAGACCCCCACTGAGTGAGGGCCTCAGAGGAAGGAGTGGGCGCCTGGGCCGCCTTCCTCACGTGGCAGCGCCTACTGTGTGCTATGGCGCAGGAGCCTGTGTCTCTCCACGCGCGACAAGGGGGTCCCGGAGACCCGGAAGCCAGGCACGTGGCTCAGGTTAGAGGAGCGCTCAGCGGGAGGGGCGCCCGTGTCC